AAAAACTTTCAGTCAAACCTTTGAAATAACCAGAAAAGGTAATCCTTTTAATAGAAAAGATTGACTTACTTCAGCAAAACTCTGGCCGCAACCTTCAAAGACAAGTCTAAACCCTAATCTTGAGGATTCTTCCTTTTGACTCTTCTTGATTGGTGGTTATCCTCTGATGCTTCACCAACAATCTCCAAGACTTAGCCGATGATCCCTTTTGCTAGAAATTTTCCAACCCCAGGAAATTCTTATGCAATCGGCCATGTCAGACTATCACAAGAGTTCCTAGGTTGGCTCTGATACCATGTAGTCGTATGAGACTACTGACAGCCCAAGCTGTGGTGTATAATCAACAGGGAATTAAGAGGATGAGAGGAGAGAATCAGAGGAGAAAGAGAAAAGAAGAGAAGAAGATTTCGAAGAAAGGATTTCAGAAAAGAAGAGGATGCTTAATCTGCCGCCCCCCTCTTTCTATTTATATTAATTCTGAAGTAAGGATAAGACTGCTTACATGGCAAAATTAAAATCCTAATAAAAGACAACAATTAAAGTCCTAATAAAAGACTAAAAGACTAAAGTCCTAATAAAAGACTAACAAGTAATTGTGGACTGACACTTAAATAACTAGTAGTTGTATACGAGTACAATAGAAGGAGGTGGGGACCACATAATAGTTGTATATGAGTACAATAGAAAGAGGTGGGGACCACATCAGTGGTTTCTACATATATATATATATATATATATTTGGCTTGTTTTTCTCACAACTTGTTGTAACCTTTGTAACTCTTTCCATTATATGTATTTCTTTTCAGATTGAGATCTTGAAACGGTTGCAACGAGAAGCATTTTCTGATTTGATGAAATTAAGGGAAAGACAGGACAAGGTTGAGCGCTTGCTATCCTTCTACAAACCTTCCAGGGGACCATTCCAGGAAGCTAGTACCCGTGTAAAAGTAGAGGTGAATACTGTTGGGGCATTGTTGCTTGTGGATAATACTGATGATCAGAGCTGTGATATGCTAAGCAGAGCAGGTGTTAGGACAGGGGTTAGTTCAAGGTTCATTTTTGAAACAACTGTCCGGGAGAAAGATTCTCTTCTGGCAGAGTTTGTGACTTGTCAGAACTGTCAGGACTATGTTAGTGATGTCACTGGGAGCCCGCTTTCATTGGAAAAGGTGGCGTATTTAGCAAATGTAAATGACTGGTTTTCTACAGTTGCAATCCCAATAGGAGCCCAATGCAAAGATGTTGGATTTGCTTCAAATTCTTTTAATCAGGTGACATTCTTCGTTGTGTTTTTGAAGACCTACATTTGTTTGACCATGTAATGGGGGAATGATGGAATACTGTAGTAGTTTTACAAGTATGACATAATGAAGTCATATGGTACATGTGGAGCCATAGATAATCCAACCAATTGGACACACACTAGAAGATCTCAGCTAAGACTGAACTCAATTGTGTAGTCCTATTAATCCAATGGCTAGACATGTCTTGCTATTTTTGTCAGTATTCTGTTCCTCGTCCTTCTGTTTTGCCAAATAGGCTGTGTAGTATTGATGCTAGCCTTATATTATCTTTGGTGTTTCATCAGGAGTTGCATTTTCCTTCCAACAGGGGCAGAATCTTACCAGTTTCTCTGTTGGGCCACCCCTCTTGAACCTATATCATGATGCTGCTGCTGCATTGATGGTGAAAAGGTCAAACGTTGCTGCTGCTTTGGCTCAGTTTGTTTCTGGGTTGGGAAAATCAGGTTCTGTTGGACAGGGATATTCCTTTAGCACTTTTGGGCAAGTTATCTGTCAACTTTCAGAAAGAACAAAGCTAACTCTTTTGGGTCTTCATAAAATGCCTAAGTCATCAAGTCAGCAGGTCAATTTAGGATCCCTTGCCATGCCAGTAGGTTTCTGGAAACGCCATAAGAACCCTGACACACCGACAGAAGTTCCTATTCCTATCACAAGTAATATAGAAGACAATGTACCAGCTAGATCTGTTGCTCTGATTCTTGAGTCAGATCTTGATGAGAGTACCAGATTCAGAGGCTGGATTGAGATGCAGAAATCGAGTCCTGGGCATTTAAAATGGGCTGTTTCACTCTCTGACACCCCAGAAGATGAGGTAGGATGGGGGTTAAGCTTGGGTGGGATACTCCAAGGCCCCTCAGATTGGGATCATTTCCAGATGGAAGCCTTCTTAAAATTTAACTCAAGAAAAAGATTCAGTTTGCAACCTGGCCTCGTATACGTGATGGATGGAACAACGCGAATACCTGTTTTTATGTTTCGGGCAAGCTGTTCTTTGTGATCATATTTGACACAGTGGCTATTAGGGACTACTGAAAGTATTTTAACAAAAAAAAAAAAAAAAGAAACTACTGGAAGTATGAAGAATTCCAGTTGGATGCAAGAGTAGTCTCTCTCTCTCCTTTTACTATTATCTCTATTATATTTCTAGATGAGTTCTATTTTACTTGAGGTGTTTCTAGTCATATGGTTTTGCAAAGCCACGAGAATCACTATCACGAAGACACCAACCATATATATGGATGCTACAGGCTGTTGGTGATGGCATTACTTTCATGCCTGTAAGTCTATATGGCTACCTTGCACTTTTTCATAAATGGAAATTTTTCGTAATAAGGTAAATTTATGAAATTTCTCTTAACCATCTGATAATTACTAATCTGTTTTTTCAATGTTTTAATCTCCCTTATTAGGTGGCATTATCATAAGTTATAACACCTTTTGTTAACAATTGTACCCTTTTTTTATATTTTTTTATTTTTCTGTAGATGACTCAAAATTTTAAGATTTTGGAATTTCTTGACATATTGAGAATAGGGAATCGACCTACTTGTTTTATCTTCGTCATGGATTCAAATTCAATATCATCTCCTTTGGTAATAAGGCTCTCTTCTTTGTAAGGTATAGATGAGTGAACATGTAATGGAAGTTTTGTCACCTGAAGAGAAAATAATCCCCACCAAAGTTAGAAAGTTACTTGGTTACCTGTTACAATTAGAATAAGTTAGAGGAGTTTAGGGGTTGATCAAAGAAAGAAGATAGGTTGAGACTTTTGAAGAAGTGAAATGGTTTAAGAGACCATAGTTTAACAATAAATATGGCAGTCATCAGTACGAAATGACAGGATAGGATTCAATATTCATGCATCTGACCCCATGTGGTTGGGAGAAAAATACCATTAACCAATTTTCAACTTTTCGACTTATGAAGGGTTGTTATTATCTTTTTCAACCCTTTCATCACAAGCCTCATATAAGTAATGGCACACTCGTTTAATAGTGGAGGTTATGGTAAATATTCAAGAGGACAAAGTGAAGTTCAAAAATTTATGAGATGATTGAGGAGAAGGTTAAATAAGTTTCCATTTTCTAACAAGGTAAATAATAAAAGGAAAGCAAAGGTGACTCTGCTTTTTCAATATTGATTGAGAGAATATGTAAAACTGTCCAACGAGAAAACGAAAGAGAAAGGGGAACTGGGTAATATAGAAAACAAAGAATAGACTTTTTAGCCGGGACATGGGTCCCTACATTGTCTCTATTCTTTTATTTTATTTATTTCAGTTTCTTCATGTTCTCCCCCTTCTATCTATGATCGTGCATAACTTTTAGGGTTCGACTATGATATGGAAAAGATATGATATCTGAAAAATTTCTGACCAGTCAATTGGTCAAAACTCTTCCTATACCATATCTTTTCTGCATCATAGATTTTTCCCTTTATTTTTTATAGTATAATAAAGTTTAATTTTTTTTTTATTAAGGGAGGCAGAGTGCCATCAGACTAGGGTTATAAATGGGACCGATCCGATTATAATGATTCTGGTTTTATGATTTTGTCCGTTAATAATTGAGTTGGTTTTGGTTTTTGCCTGTTTCAAATTGATTCAAATCCAAAATCGATTATTTTATTATATATAATATTTTCTTAGATTTTTAATATATTTTATGTTTGAAATAATAAATAAAATAGTATTAGTTAAAAATGTTTTTAATTTACTAATATATAAATTGTTTAGTATTTTCTATCATTTTATTAAAATTATATTAGCAAAATTTAATTTTTAAGTTATTATTTAAATAGACAAATATAGTTTTTAATATAATTGGATCATTCAGATCTTAACCGGGATGGTCTTGGGTGATTATTTGAAAAATAAGTGCTTATTCTAATAAGCTCTTATGAGTGTTTGATGAAAACACCAAGGTTCAAAATATGGGCATATCAGGTGAATTGATACAGCTTTTTAGTATTTTTTCTTCTTTTTGCAATTGGTTCAGGGGAGCCGGTTTAGATCTCCACACCCTGAACTGGTCAGACCCCCAATACACCCAATGTAGAGGCATATCGGAGGGGTCCCAGAATGATACATATCGGCCGATACGTGTTGATACTTTAAACCTTGGAAAATACACTTATATTAAACAAGGTAGCATAGGTATTTTCAAAATGATGCAGCGGGTAGGCCAAAAAGGAAATAAGCACTAAAAAATAAATCTAAAATTTGGACTATCCTCGCAAAAGCAAATAAGTGTTTATTGACGTGGTCCTGGTCCCAAAATAAGCACTTATTCAAATAAATACTTATTTTTAAGCATTCCCAAACTTGGCCTAAGTACCTGCATTCTATTTTTTATGCATCAAAGAGTTACGCTTGCCCCCAATCTGGATCCCCAATTTCGATGCATGCATCCAATCGTCAAGTTGATGCACTCGTACACATATCATCATTTTAAAATGTTGAAAGCTAGTCAATTATGATCATAAAACATGTTTGGCTTCAAGCCTTAAACCTTCTTTATTTACGCATTCTACAATTCACAATTCAGTTAATTAATGTTTCATTGAATTGCTATTATCCATTTGCCTTTGGCATGCCATTCCGAAGACATCCCGGGGGGGCATGCAAGCAGAGAGAATATATGATGGATATCTTTATTAGAATGCCAGAAAATTACTGCAAATTTAAGCTATAATTGAAATCAGGCAGCATGTCCACAAAAGGTTGAGGGAATGGATGCAGCTGGTGAAGATGAACAAGATAGACAAAGTGAAAGAAAATCACTGCTTTTATTGATATAATTTCAATAAACCATTACAATACTTACCAAAGTTACATTGTGCTATTTTATCAAAATTGGAAAATTTTCCTTGCAATGCCTTGCTATCGTTGTCCCTTGCTGCTTGCACGAGTGGCTCTATCAAATCTATAGGATATTCAATAGTTGTCTTCTCCTTTCTAGACAGCAACCTGTATATTTTCCCAGTATAAAAACAATATAACTGCCACAGCAGGTAGTGTTCATCAAATTGGTACTGGTTGTAAACCTTTAAAAAGGAGGCAACTCATCGTCGGAGTGGTACTTCTGTTGGCTGAAACGATTGCCAGAACTGATAAGCTGCTCTGCACCATCAGATCCACTGACTTGATAATCAAATATTTCACTATCATTAAGGAACCTTCCAGCCTCTGGAGGGCTGTAATCCTTCCCCCTCCAGACCACAATTTGCTCCTTCTCAAATGTCACAAGGACACAGGGAACCAAATCCTGTACCATTGGATAAACAAACAACAGACACCATGCTCAAGTTCTGTAGTTTGGGATATCTAAGATATATAGATAAGAACAGCTAAAGATAACAAGAAGTTCATCAAAGCCATGCCTCACAGAGCTTATGTAACTGGATATTTACTAACAGACTTTAATGTCACAGTTCATGTACAATTTGCCTAGCATCCATCATACTGCACAAGCTTGGCTCAACAAAACTTTTAGTATTTTTGTTTTGGGTGCAACTCAGGTTATCCCAAGTTAACATTTTACACTGCTTCAGGTTTGGGCTATGGGCTGGGCCTATTCAAAATTTGACAAAAGCACAACCCGAGCCCACCCTAGTTGCACCCTAATTTTTGTAGGGCTTTGTTTGTTTCCATGCAAAAGGGACTGAAACCTAATTATTGGCTGTAAAAGGGCCAAAAATATAACTAAGAGTTCACAGAAAAATAGTTTCACTCCTTTATGCTGGAACAAATGGAGTCTATGAGGTAATTGTGTCAGGGAAAGTCTGACTGCAATTATTCATCAAAAGAAACAAAGTCTGACTGCAATTGGGAGATGGCAAAGGGTGGCGCCATCCACTGAACAACCATGCCTTAAGCAGCAGGACTTTCATTCCGGTTGAAGTTTATGTTCTTCCTTGTGCAATATTTTTTATCAGATATAGGTCTGAATTCCTCCTCTGGCAGTCATATTTCAACCCTAACAAACATAATATAGGCGGACATACAAATGGTTGAACATAATCAGCTCCCAATTTCCTCCATCTAGAAAACAGGGCCAATCAAGCTCAACAAAACACATGTACAAGCTGAAACAATAATGTATTTGAGAAACTAAAATGGAGATTTCCATTATTAGTTGATATTTTGAAAACTGGACTAAACATTGAACTGGGAGGGTATCTATCGCCTCTAGGTTTTCCCAACAAACCACTTGGTTATCATTGAAACAGAATTGTATTTATCAAAAAGAAAAGAAAAAAAGAAACAGAATTGCATGGTTTCATGGTTCAACTGGCCAGTCTGGTCTGGTTTTCAAAACATTGCTAGAAAAGAGATGGATGAAGTCTCAATATTATGGCAGAAAGGGACTGTCCAAGAGCACCAAATTAGAAAATGCTCCGGTTTGCAGGCAAGCAGGGGAAAATAAAACAAAGAATTAGAGGGCTATTTTTGAGTTGTGACAGGTTTACTAGAAAAGGAATACTAGTTAATCCCAATCATTCAGATTACACAATCTAAGGGGTCCGGGGGGGATGAAAACCCTATATGCATAGGACAAACCCTACAACTCCCAAAGAAAATATTATTTTTTCCTCTCCATCTCTGACTCAATCCTTTTGGCCCGAGTCATTTTGATTGTTCTAGGGAACAACCTCAAAAGGAATTACAGAATTGTCCCATTTTGAGAAACTAAAATGGAGATTTCCATTATTAGTTGATATTTTGAAAACTGGACTAAACATTGAACTGGGAGGGGATCACCTCTAGGTTTTCCCAACAAACCACTTGGTTATCATTGAAACAGAATTGTATTTATCAAAAAAAAAAAAAGAAAAAAAGAAACAGAATTGCATGGTTTCATGGTTCAACTGACCAGTCTGGTCTGGTTTTTAAAACATTGCTAGAACAGAGATGGATGAAGTTTCAATATTATGGCAGAAAGGGACTGTCCAAGAGCACCAAATTAGAAAAATGCTCCGGTTTGCAGGCAAGCAGGGGAAAATAAAACAAAGAATTAGAGGGCTATTTTTGAGTTGTGACAGGTTTACTAGAAAAGGAATAATAGTTAATCCCAATCATTCAGATTACACAATCTAAGGGGTCCGGGGGGGATGGAAACCCTATATGCATAGGGCAAACCCTACAATTCCCAAAGAAAATATTATTTTTTCCTCTCCATCTCTGACTCAGTCCATTTGGCCTGAGTCATTTTGATTGTTCTAGGGAACAACCTCAAAAGGAATTACAGAATTGTCCCATTTTGATTGAAAACTAGAGGTAAGCTAAATAAATACCTAGGGTTCATAGAACTTTGTGGGCTTCGGAGGGAGGGTGAGGATAATTTGGGTGATCCCTATTATGGTCACCCAAACTACTATGGCCCTCTAAAATGGTTTACCCTGTCACTAAGGGATTAACAAATTTAAAAATAACTCTTAAAAAAACTCAAGTTGATCAATAACAAAAATAAAAATAAAAAAACCCCACTGGTTTATGAATTTGAAAAAAAAAACTTGTTCTATTCTCCCATGGTTTTTTTTCCCTTTTTTCACATCTGCATCATGAGTCGATGGTTGAAATAACAGACTCAAACCCACCACAAATTAATAACTATAACCCTTCTACCCCCACCCTAATTGCTTAACGTGTGCCTTCTCTTTACAAGGAACAATGATAATATGTATAGTTTTCTCCTAATCTTTTATCCCCTTAATACTTCTCTGCCTTCCCTATAGTCTTTTTCTAGTTCAACTTCTGGCCTGGCCAATCCTAAATGAAGTTAAACTCAAAAATACAGGTTTCGAAACCAACAAGCTGATGCTGGGAAAATTAGTGTCTTCTTTGCAATTTCTCCTTTGGACCCCTGATCAAATGCCGATTTACAGACTCCCAAGAACACCTACTCCATGGAAATAATTGTTCTGGTATTGCAAATGATAAACAATATGAAGCTATGGAAATGAGTATGAAACAGGAAAAAAGTTTTTCTACAATAATTATCCAATATTCAACACAAATGGACATCAAGACAAAGTAAACCTCATTAGTTGCAATTATTACCCTTAGTTTGCAGCCTATTTTCTTGTAGTCACTTTTCTCAAGGCCTTTGCAATCTAGGCGGACCAGCTCCTCGGTGAGAAAAGCATCTCGGACCATTGGTACAAGACTCCCATAATAACCGTTTTTTGCTGCATAAATTGTTGAGAGTCAGAAGCAAAATAGAAGAACAGTAAAAAAAAATAAAGATTGAAACTACTGGATTCTAAGAAGGCAATACCAAGCTTTGTCAAAGCAGGAACCGCTAGACCTCTCTTCCTCATTTCCTTTGTTTCCTCAATGGTCAGGCCATCAATTACTTTTTTGATCAACCTTGGATAAATAGGTTCATGGGGTTTCCACAGCATCAATGGAATCACAGGCCTTTTCTTAGGATTGTAATGCCTACCTCTGTACAACACAAGCAGACCACCATGTCTATGGATAATCTTACCAAAGGTTTTATCCTGAAACACAAACATGTGCTTTCATAGAAACGTTCTGAAAAAGATACAACAGAGAATTTTTGAACTGCAATATTGCTAAGAATATGATTTAAAGAGAAGGTCAAGAAAAGTTTACTTTTAACATCTCAATCCAAAAATATCGCACTAAGACATGATGGAAATCACCCATGAGAGACAGCATGTTGGCAACAGCCCATATAATGAAAGGAAAGTAATTTCCTTCGGACAACATTGCTAGATCTTAGATGTTAGGAAAAATTACCAAAGCATAATAGAGAATATGGTAATGAAAACTTCTGCAGTTTTGCATATCCAAAATGATGGCTAACAAGTCGGCAGAAACTAACCAATTCTTTTGATGAATTGGGTAAGAAACATGCTAAGCTTGAATGAAGGGGTAAAAAATCCTAATGACTAATGTAAAAAATGTAGATCAGCTTTACACATGGCTGTCTATGATCAAGAAAAAAATAAAATGTCTTGAATGTGCTATCTATCCTACTTGCTCCACAAAGAGAACAGACATTGATATGGGCTGATCCCTCAAAATAAGAGGGTCTACAATAACTTTGATTTTCACCACTTTATACTCAGCTTCACAATGGATTCAAAAGGAACAAAAATTATGGTTAACCAAATTAGCATTTAGCACTGGGTTTTCCCAGATCATAATAGAACGCAATAGAATGTATTAAGAGACTGTGATGGGAAGAAAATGACAGCGCTCCACAACACTTTACAAGAAAGAAATAACAACAAGAGAAAACCACTTTATAATGGATAGGTGAATACCTCAAGCTGGGTGCACACATTCTTCATGTCAATAGTTGGTACACCTAGACACTTTATCCTGACAGCTTCAGCATGCTTCCAGTGGTTATGAATGTCATTCAGCATGTTGTGAGTTAGACCATCTCTCCCTATAAGAAATTTCATTAATGCTGCAGAGTGAATAAAAGCAAAAAGCAAGGAAATAACTCTAGTTTACAGATTTTATTTGATTGGTCTTGTGTTGTTTACTTGAACTTCTTTTCTCTTGTCTTTTTTTCCCTTTGTGTGTGTGTTCACGCGTGTGTGTGTGTGTTTGGGGGGAAGGAGGATCAAAAACAGTATGAAGCTACAAGTCCAACAGTGCATTCTTTTTGGGACTATTCTACAATTCTGCCAGAGGAACAAGTGAATGTCAGCATGGTGTTTAGAATTGTGGTGTTGCAAGCCTCAGTGTTTGCACTTGATTCGTTGCATTGGATTTTGGGAGATTGAGATGTTTTGGCACACAAGACAAAGCATAATATTTTATTGCAGTTTTAAACACATAGGCACCACATAGGATACCCAAAGTGGAAACAACCTCGTTGGAGGAAACAGATTTTTGAAGTTTCCTCCAACACATCCATGCATATAACTCTATGCAAATAGTACAAACATTTGTACTCGGTTGCCAAGTGGTACAAACATTTGTACTCGGTTGCCAAAACAGAGTTTTGGAAAGTAAAGGTCAAAAGGACTTCATGGCACCTAGCTGGAATTCAAACAGGAATGCAACACAGCCCATACAACGGTTCCAGACACTACTCAGATGGTAGAATAAAAATGGAGAGTCAAGTTCATGAAATATTGGACCAAATTTGACTAAAAGAAAAATCTTTAGTATGTTATTATTCAAATAAGAAAAAAACAAAAGAGAAAGAAAAATCTTTCATATGACCCAAGTCCATGTACCGAATCGAGCATTAACAAAACTTAAGAACCGATACACAGAAACAAAAAATAACAATACAATGGGGAAAAAGTATAAATAAATAAAGAGTAAGCATACCCAAATTAATTTGTCGCTTTGTTTTATTCCTCTGACATTTCTCCACCAGGATCTTCCTCTCAGCAGGTGTGAGTGGTTCTCCGAGAATCGCCTCTCTCCATCTGCGTCTCTTCTCCTCCAACTTGGGGTCCTCATTCCCGTCCAGCGACTTTACAGTCGGATCAACAGCCGGAGCACATACCCCAGTCCACGCACGATCAAGACGACCGGGACCAAATGGAGAGTACTTGGGCTCACGAAGTCCGATGGGCCTGGCCGCAGGATTGCTCTCGGTGTAACTGAACCTGAAATCGAAGGGAAGGTCCGAACGCAAGGGCTTCAAGCCCGTCCGGTCGAGCGAAGACGGAGGTCGATACAAGGGTTTCTGCTTCTTCTTTTTGTTGTTGTTGAGTTCGCTTTGAGAATCAAAAGAAGGGTTACGATTAGGGTTAGGGTTTTGGTGAGGGTCTCTTTTGGTAAGGGAAAGAGGGGGATTGAATGAGTAGTCGTGGAGCTTAGATGAAGGAGGGATTGATGAAGAGAAGAGACGAGTTGAGGTGAGGGTGAAGAAGGAGAGCTTCTGTTTTTGGCGGGAGATTTGATGGAAGAACATGAGAAGGGGAAACGGCTTCGCTCTGTTTCAAATTTTCCTCGCTCCGTTGAAGGAGCGGCGGGGCGGAGATGTATAAGCGCAGAAACAACACAAGTAAACGACCGTTTTTTTTTTTTTTTTGAGATCAAAATTCGAAACGTGACAGGGAAAAGAAAGACCCAAATACCTCTCTAACCGGTTTCCGAAGTCGAAGTGGGACCCCACCCCATCTGGCTCCGGTGATGGTGGGATCTTATATATATATTAAAGCGAAAGGAGCGGGCGGTCTCCCCTTTCGCTAAATGGAATCTTACTGTAGTTCGTTTACTACTCTATCCCATTCTTCTCTGACCACTTCTCTCTATGGAAAGACCAGTGAGAGAGCTGATATTTTTTATTCTTCTCTCTCCCATGAGCTGCGAAACAAACCCAGAACCCAAAACCGCTTCCCCCTCCTCTGCTCTGTTCCAGCAAGTGTGTTTTATCGAGACCGGGGTTTTAGGTTGGGTTCTGTTTTTTGGTTTGGGTTTATCAGACGACGGAGGAGGAGGGAGGGTCTTCTTATTATCACTGTTCTGGTCGCTGTTGTTATATAGTTTTAGGTTGGGTTCTATTTTTTGGTTTGGGTTTATCAGACGACGGAGGAGGAGTGGTTCTATTTAGTTTTATGTTACACAGCTGTATGAGTCGGGAGGCGGCGAAATCGTCAAAATCAATCAGTTTGGCGAAATTAATACTTGGCTTGGCAATGAAAGAGAAAGGAAAAGATCTGAAGGTGGCTTTTTTTGTTGAAACCTTGTTTCTTGTTTGCTACAAGTATGTGTGTTTTTTAGGTACTACGTTTACCCGCCTCGTATATCTATTGCTGGTTTTATTTTTGGTGATTTTGAAAGGTCGGAGTGGTCGGTAGGTACATACTAGTGGTTCTTTCTTTGCATTTTTTTCCTGTCTGTGATTGTTTATTTTTGATGTCGTGAGTTGTAGAGATATAGTTCTCTTCAATCTGCTGCTCTCTTTAATGCCGTGAGTTTAGATTTATTTTTGGACAGGGTTAGATCTCTCTCCCATACGCCTGAAACGTCACAAACTTATAGAGACTTCATAGCTTCAGATTTGGCTCATTTACGGAGAATGTCGCAAATCAATCTAAGACTGTAAGGATGCTAAATCGGAGAGGCCGAGGAAGGGATGGCGGCTTCGGAATGGAGAATACGCAAAGCTCTGCGATCGATGCGCGTAAGCAATTTTACTTCATCTCTATTTTTCTGTATTCGTTTCGATTTCGGCTGTTAATTTGTTGCAATGTTAATTTGGAGTTTGGTGGATCAGGTTGCCTAGGATTTTTATGTGTTTTTGAAGCTTTGATGAATTTCTATGTGCTGATTCAGTGGATACTTCCGCTGTTTTGGGATTATGTTTAAGCTGACTACAATTGTTTGAAGTGAAAATTCGAATTCCTTTTGAGCTCTGTTCGTGAAGGGACGACTTTACTTTTTTTTACTGGAGATGGAAGTTCTTTTGGGTTTGAATGTTCGGATTTGCGTTAATTAGTGGTCGTAGTTGGTTTTAGTCCCTTCCGAGTGCATTACTTTTTGCTAGAAAAAATTGCTTTTTTGGGGTTTATGTTTGTAAAATGGAGCCTTTTCCCTTCATCTTCAAGTTCTGACCTCCTTAGTAAATTACTTTTGTACTCTGTCACATTCTATAGGTGTATTTTAGAAGGTACCTGTTATTGGTCCGAAAGTGTGCTTAGTTCTATTGTAATTTGTGAATTATGTTTTGTTCTCCATTGCCACCATTGTTTTCTTATGTTTCAATTATTGGCTCCCATGCATTATTTGTTCTGGCACTCAAGTTTAACTGATATTTATATAACTTCTACTATTATCTGGAATGGTCATGGACATTACATAAATCTGTCTCTTCTAATTTTTTTCCCATTGACCTGGCCTTTGCATTTCGCTTCATCATTTGCAGGGTTTTCCTTGAGGCTCAGAATTTTGGTGTTCGATTTGTTTGTACGGTTAAAATGACTCTGTCTTTCATTATGGAGAAAACGCAAACATTACTTGACCATTCCTTCTTTTAAACTTTCTGACCTGCAATAAGCAGTAGGCGTACCCTTTAAGCCTATTAATTTACTACTTCCTCACCCCAACTATCAAATTTTGTTCTTTATGTAATCTTTCCGCACAAAAGAGGCAAATAGTCCTGCCTAATGTAATTCATAATTAAACTCAGGATCAGTTTATGCCCTGCATCCTTTGATTCAGTGTTTCGGTTGCATAAGGATTTGTGTTGGGAGAGGGTTTGTATGAATTAGAGCCTATTGATTTCAGTTTGGATTAGGATCTTAATTACTGCTGGTGTTGTTGTTAGTAATTTTAATGATGGTGGTAGATATTAGGGTGCGATGAAAATCAAAATTCCCTATCCAGATCCAGTAATTGATTGTATTCTGCCTTTGTTGGTTGCAGAACCCATTCCAGTTCTAGGTGCTTTCTAGTGATTATTGTAAGGGTGTCTTCACCACTGATTCATCAAGATGATCAGGAGAGGGGTAGCACTATTTCCAAGGAAAAATACCAGCTCAGTTGGTGAGCTATTCTCTCTCAACTTCTTACTTTTTTTATTCACTTATTTAGGTTTTCGTTTCAGATTTGGTTTGTCTTCATTTTTCTAAGGTTTATTTTCCATTGATAATGGCAAGAGAATGTGATTTGTATCAGGTTTTATAGTTTAGAATTTATAGAATAGGTAAGTGTTTTTTTTTTTTTTTTGAGTAAATGATACTCTAGAGTTTGGTTGGTGTCCATGGATGCCTCTTGATTTTACCTTCTTCCTTGACTTAAGTTGTTTTATAGATTTCTTGTGATTTGGGTTCTTCATTCTTCTTTTTATTTATTTTGTTTAACATGTATCCTGATTTTTAGTTTTCTTAGATAGAGGTACACATTTTTTCCGTTTTCTTTTTTCTACTTAATTTTGTTGAGACAACTTTTTTGTACAATTAATTAGTTCCTTGTGAGATTGTTCTAGGGTTTATTGAAATTGAAATCCTGTTATAGATTATATAGATGGTTGAGTATAATCATATTATGAATATATGTTATTCTAAAGATTAAATAAATCACATAATTATTTTTATTCACCTCCAGTATATAAGTAATTATACAATAAATGTAAGATCATACAATCAGGCTTGACTTTAAGTTAATTAACCCACAAAGGTCTTTAATGTGAAAATTTAAAAAAAAAATGTCATATTGGCATCCTCCCAAGGTGTGAAGGATGTGTCTCAATTAGTTAATTAACCCACAACCTTTCTCTACTGCACAAGGTTTAAAAAACCGACCCAGAAACGGAACCGTACTAGCTACTGGTTTCCAGGTTAACGGTTCAACCGTCCGGGTCGAACGGTTTGGCCGGTTTGCATATTAGAGCAAATGTTTATATGAGATTTGCCCTAATATGCAAAGCTCATGTAAGAAAGAAGAGATGTCGGCTAAGAAAAGCCAGGTTCGACTGAGAAAGAAAAAAATAAAGAAGAAGGAAAGAGAAGAGGGAAGAAGGAAGAGGAGGAAGAGGATTCGATGCTCACCGGCGATGATAGTGGTGATGGCGATGGTGAGGCGGCAGCAACAGATGCAGATCTGAGATCTGAGTTCTTGGATCTCAGATCTGAGATCTGAGTTCTCGGATCTTAGATCTCATATCTGAGTTCTCGAATCTCAGATCTCAGATCGCAGATCTGAGTTCGTGTCTCAGACTGGATTTCAGATCTAGGAATGGCAACGGGGCGGGGCGGGGATGGGGAGCCATCCCCGCAGGGATCCCCATTCCCCATGATTTTTTATAATATTAACCATTTTGTTTTTATTTTTTATTTTATTTAAAAAAATAAAAATAAAATAATTAAAATTTGCAATCCTATTAGAAAAGATTCAAATATATTCAACCGAATTTTTAAAGATATTAATATATAGATGTATGTGTACATATATACATATATAACGTATGCATACATATATAACATATATATTAGTAGGGATCCCACGGGGTGGGGATTGGGATCCCCGTGGGGCGGGGAGTGCTCTCCCCGTCCCCACTAACGGGGATGAAAATTTCCCCATCCCCATCCCCGCCCCATTCGGGGCGGATCCCCACGGGGATCGGGGAAATGGGGAAAATTGTCATCCCTACTCAGATCTGAGTTCTCTCTGCATCTTTATATTGCAAACTGCTGGCCAGGTCAAACGAGTAGACGGTTTGACCGCCGAGTTAGCGGTTTTCTGACGAAGTCAACGGTTTTGACCCAAGAACGGGTTAGGGGTGAAACGGAACCGGTTGCTTGGATGGTTTCCGGGCCGAATGGTCCAATCGTCCGGGTCAACGACGATTCAAAAACATTGCTACTGCAAGTTCCATCTGTCCCAACAGAATCTTTTCAAACCAAACTACACGCAAAAAGATTGAGACCCACCACAACCACCTTAACTTATCCTACCAGACTACTATTCAACTAATTGCTTCATTGAAATGTGGTAGGTCTGATAAGGCTACTGAACTATGGACATCTGAAGGAGCTCCATAGAACTATTAAGCCATATGAGCGAGCTATAGTTTCAGCTGGCCCTACTGTTACCTCTTTAGGAAGCTATCAATAGGTCAGTGCTCTTCATGTTTTGGGAATATGTCTCTGCCTCAGCTGTCATTTGACATCTTGGTTCTTGGTTATGTTTTACCCAAAAAAGTGCATTAATGAAATTATCCAAAAATTTTTGCAGTAGTTCTATCATCATATAGTCTTTTTCTTTCTTTTTTCTTGTTGGTAAGCATAACCTCATCTGTAATTACAAAACRCAAAATCATTATGATTTGTTCCTTTCTTGCCTTTCACACACACTTGAACTTATAATTGGATCAGTACATGAAAGCGTGTACAATATATTAGTATTGCGGCCAGTCTATTTATCTGGTAATTTAATCGAGTTCATCCTTCAGAAAATAAGCTAAGAAATTTCCATTTTGTTCCTTAAACAAGAAGTAAGGTTTGGATTAACCATCTTTATATCATGTATGCTTATGGGTGCCTGGTAAAAATTTTGTTAGAGGAGGCAATAAAAGTTTTGTATTGATTTTATTAAAAGAACACTTCTTTATATATAACCTATTTTTTCTTTATTCTATATTGTTTCTATTATGAAGAATCAAGAAATGGGACTGTCAATGTAATTGCTATCAACTCACTGGAGGAGACACAACATTGAGAGAATTGAGGAAGATCTTAGCTTCAGCATGTGCAAAAAATTTGTGGAGGTAAAATCTGAATCTTTTGTCTATATTATGAGTTACTTTTATCACTATGATTAAAAGGATTGTCTTAGATAATCTGCAAATATGCAGAGGAAGTTGTAGCATTACCCCAGATAAAAGAAATTAATACTAAACTGTCCTTAAAACATGTAGAAAACATAGAACTAATGTTCTTCTCTCACAATGATAATTCATCTCTATATTGGGATTC